TTACTTGGATAAGCCTTAAATTTAACATCATTACCTATTTTAATGTAATATTATGTATATCACACATTATAGAAAACTAATCTCTTTTTAAACCAGTTTTGAAAAAAAGTGGGTTGCCATATTAAAATATAAATTATTTATATTGATGATAATTAATTTGGTTTATGCTAATGGTTTACATATATCAAGAGGACAATTTTTAAAATATATGGAAAATAAGATCTTAAATTCTAGCGATTCTATATAATGTGTGAAAAAACACTCAATGCCAATAAATGTAATCAAAGCCTGATTCATAATTTGAATCCTGGGTATAATATAATCGTTGGTTCGTGATGAAATAATTGATCTGTATACTCTTGGTTTTTTTTTTTTTATTAAAATTCGTATTATAATCGTGCACTTATAAAAGTACAGGTACGCACTTATATCTTTCTAATATTATATTACCGCGTACAGATTGTCGATCGGGCGGAACCCTCCGTCACATCGTATACCTAAATATTATATTATGATTTAGCTATTCCGGAGCGTACGTGATAAAAAATTTAAACGTTTCCTACATAATATTTTTCGATATTATAAAATATTCGAAAAATGTACAAAATTCTACTTTGCGCACATGATCTCCCGCGTAAAACGTGTATAATATACACAGTATACCACGAACCCACACAAAAGTTTGATCCGGAAACTTTACAGCCCGTATACTGCTGCAGAGTAGGTATATACGTTATATCCAGCTGCACGGGCTCGAACTGAATTAAAAGTTTGCCCGAAGGGTACCCCCCCCTCTTTCGTTTAAACGTGTTTTTAAATCAAAGTCTAGGTTGGGTCGTGCCAAAGTCACTCTTATTTAAAAAAAAAAATATTGAAAGGTTTACGGCCTTTAAGACAGTTCCGTCAAATAAACTCTGCCACATACATCTTAATTTTCCGTTTCTTTCATGTATCTTTTCTTGGATCCACTGCACACATTATGCCTTTCTTCACAAAGTCTTTTCTAACGTGACATTTCCAGTGGCTTTTCATATCGGATTCTCTTCAACTGCGTTTTTATCACGTGCACGTGTACGTGTGATACACACAATAGCTTTTAAAATTTTAAATTACTAACAGGCAAATAGTTTTGTATTTAAATATTTTTTTGGCTAGGTACTTAAACTTATTAAACCAATATCTTTACGTGATATTTGCAAAAAAACGTATCGGTTCTCTCATGAATTTTTGAATTTTACTCCCTTTTAGAGCCCTTTTAAAAAGGTATTTAAAAATCTTAAGCCCACATATAATTTTAGATTTTATTATTTAATTCAAATTTTCGTTTTACATTTTGGTGCTTTCTTGTCATCGGTATAGCTGTTTACCACGAAATCTTGATTTAATAAAAAAATAAAAATTGAATAAAAGTTAAAAATAAGATTATTTCTTTCTCGTATACTTTTTATGTTTTCGTATACAACCCTTAAAAAACAAAAAAAAAAATAATGCTTAAAGTATGTTTTCCCTACAACGTCAGATAGTAGAATAACACGACGGTCAGAACACCGACTTTGTTTAGACCCAATGTTACCACTAGACGCAATTTCACTTACCTTAGAATCTAATATTTTAGATTCTGAGTAGAGCGAAGAAGCTTATGGCTTTACAAAAATGTTTATTTTTATTTTTATTTTTCAAAAATCTTGCTCCGTTTTTTAAGTATAACACTTTTCTGAAAGTAAATCGGACTGGAGAAGTACTTTAGAGAAGTCATTCTTTGATTTTCTCATTAGTTTTCCCAAAAAACAGAAAAATATGTACAGTATTAAATAAATAGTTATTATTAAAGAAAACGAATAATGTAATTATTTTACCATAATATGGCATACATATTATTAACAAAACAACTTCACTATCAACTGAACTCTGCTCAGAATCGCTGTTTTCGTTAGCAACGTTTTATCGTTGCTCACAGATATACATTATATTTCCCCTTTACTACCGTCCCAACTTCTCACCTACAACAGTGACTGCACCCATTCCCAATATTTTGATCCATTGGTAAAATCTACACCTAAACATTGTCATACTTAATCATCATAACGTTTTACCGACACAGATAGGATGGACCACTCGCTACACTACGCTATGATCACTCTGTATACGTTACAAATACGAACAACGACACATACGGATACAAAAGCAGTTTTTAATATACAGTATTATAATCGTTATAATATGCAAGGCGAGACTCTGAGAATATGTATTTATAATATACAACAAAAGTAGGTACCTGTAGTATTTATATCCTGTAACGTAATAGAATATAATACCTAGTTTCAAGAACTTTTCTCCGTGTGCGTGTGTATTGTTTAACCGCCGCCACCGTTACATTTTTTTATTTTTATTTTATTTTATTTTTTTTTTTTTTATTGTTCTTTTTAACGTTAATAATAATAATAATAATAGCGATATAATATAAAGCTAAACCTGGGGCCAGATCATTTTTCGGGTCGATTGTTCCCGACAATTAGGTAACTATATAGGCAATAAAAGGTTTTGTTATGGCGGCGGCGGAGAGAAACTGCCGTTCATTCGCAACCCTTGTCCGGCGGCGTCCGTGGTAAACAGCTAATCGCCGCAAAATCGTCCGCGATCTACCGGCAATAACGCTAAAACTCTTTATTTTTATTATTATTTTACTATAGGCATATAGTTTGTTTGTCCTAAAAACTTTTGACAAGCCGATTGCGTCTGATATGTCCGACGAGTGAAAATATCGACTATATCGCTTATACATATTATGATGACGACGATGATGATGACGATGACAACAATATAATATTGTGACGAGCGGGTGCCTTTTCCAAAACAATAATAGGTACTATAAGTACCGACTAATAATGATAATCATAACGCAGCAAAAGTTTTAATTGGCTCCACGAAATACACTCGTACAACAATAAAATAATATATTATATACTTATTCTAAAAACGATTATCCGCCGTTTTAGTTTATTATTTTGTTATATACGAGATACTGTAATGTACGTACCTATAGTTATAATTATTACTGTTTTTTTCGCTGTTCTTTCTGCCGCAGCATGTATACGAGTGTAGCATAATAATAATTATTTTATTTTAACACGCGCAGAACTGTTTTTGTTTTTTTTTTCGCTATACAAATTTCACAACCCAACAAACATTCGAAACAATAATATAATATAATAGGCAGGTACCTAGCTAATCGCTGCAATCGTATAATATGTATAATACAGTCGTGTAAATCGTAACGATTTAAAAATGATTTCATAGTACAACGTACGTACATAGTAATATTATTAATTCAAACACTGTACTCGCTCACCGCAGACTTCGTCAAATTTCTATAATGTTTAATAATAATATTGTAATAACGTTTTCGTTATTTGATTATACGTTTAAAAATACCTCGTATACAGGTACTTTTGTGTACAACCATTCCGTGACCGACGCAGCAGGCTTTAAAACGCAGTTTCTTGAAAAGCATGCCATACCGGTATATTCCGATACGTGTACCTATTTTTTTTTTTTTTTCATTTTTTTTCATTAAATTACCTTTTGTCATGTATGTTTTTATTTTATACTTGCTACAGTAATTAACGTTATATATAACGCGTTTAATGTACCTATATATATATAAACATGCAAGGGAAAAAATAAAGAAATTATAAAATGTTCATTAAACAATTACACAATTCTGCGTTTTAAACTGACTCCAATCATTTTAGTTGGATTTCGTTAAACTAAATTAACTTCAACGTTATACTACACAATCGCTGTACATATTTTATACTTGAGTATACGTACCTGCATTATATTATTATTACCGTGTTTCGACCGATCAGAAAAATATTATTCTTAGCACAGTACGTAAACTGGAAACGGGTATTATTATTGTCGAATTAGCATATCTCTATGACGCTAGTTATAACATTAAACTTCATTGCACCGTTATTTAACAGGTAAGTACATTTATACAGAAAAAAAAAAACCGATTTAATATAAAAGACATGTATGGTGGTGAATTTCGGTGCAGTCTAATTACTAGTATAATAGCGAAAAAATTGTTTTGGCGATTTTGTTTACCACAATTTATTTGTTAACTACATGCACTCGTAGAATCATATTTTTGGAAATATCAAACTAATCAATTTTATGTTTACTGTTTTTGGTTACTGATTATACATTGGCAAATACTGTAAATGACAATTGACTGGAGATTCAATAACAGCGATGACGAGCGCGTGGAAATTATTACAATGATTTTTTTTTTTTTCAAATGTTAAGTATTAAGTTGTATAACAAGCGTAATCATTAGAACTGCGACTTTAATTCACTATAAAACCATAAAAAAATGAAAACATTTACTTTTTGGTTTTATTTTTGGTATTTTAAACTTGTGAAAGATGAACAGAAACTAAACGATAATAACTAAAAAACCTAATCGATTTTCAGATTATCGAAATTTACTACTGCAGATATGTCGAAATAAATAACCGCGATAAATTCTTACATGCTCAATCATGTACATTTTTGTAAAATGTTTTAAAACAAAAATTTAAATATCAGTATATAGTGTAGTGTTTGTAGTGCCTGTGTAGTTTGAGAAATGAATCAAAATAACGTAAAATGAACTCAATATAAAAAATGGCCTTAAAAGATAAAACAAAAATTACTTAAAAAGTTTGAAATGTCAAAACTGGCAAATGAAGCCAAATATGAATTTCACGATTTACTTGTTTTTACATGATTCAATCTTTGTTTTAGACAGATTTCTTTTAGAAAAGCTCTTTACATACTCAAAAAAATAAAACGTCATTTTAAAACCAAAACCTTTCACGCTCTATCCAGAATCTAACCTAGTAATTCCTAATATTAAATTACCATAACGCATTTTACTAACAATATTAATTTGTTGTACTTATGGGTAGGTATTATTAATTAACTTAAAATAAAACTGTTCACTGTTAAATGTATTATGTCGTATTTGTTATATCATTAATTCGCATAGCGTTGAAAAGGTTCAGTCTCGTAAGCAAACGATTTTTAATAATAATCATCTTTACCGCGTTCACAAATTTGTTGTACATTTGACATCGTTTCCAAAAATTTCTGTCGAGAGTATCGTCAAATATGAATTTACTTTCATCCTAAAAAAAAAAAAAAACCTGTATATTATAATATAATAACGCTATATTAAAAAAAAAAAATATTGTAACTTTGCCAGGGGAATATTATTATTTTTCTGAGCCTCATTTTAACTTTCGCAAAGCATAGCTACAACATTACTAATTTTAAATCGAGTAAATTATTAACAAAAAATTATTAATATTACGATGTGGTTTATCCGAATGCTTCTCTCGCGAAGTCCAAAAGGCCCCGACTGATCGTCAGGTGATATTGTTTGATAGGAATACAGTTTTTCCTGTATTGTATATATTCAAAAATTAGAATAATAATTATTTAACACGAGCATTTAATAGTATAATTAAACATGAGCATGTAGTGGCATTCAATAGTGTGATTCATCGTTGGTGCATACAGATTTATAGAACGGTCAATATTTTACACTGAAAGCCAATATTAAATGACACTGTCCATGTATGCACTAAATAAGTATATATAAATAGTATATATAGTATACTAAATATACGGGATAATGAGTTGCGACGAACAAGAAATTCCAACGAAGGGTTCGAAAACTGCTAGGAAGCTAGAAAAGCTTTCATTAACTTTTGATTAGTCCTAGGAGTCCTAGTTATTTAACCTTGTAATCATTCCATTCCCCATCGCGCTTGTCGATAACATATTGAATTTCTTCGTCAGTAGTGACCGGTTCATGTCTAGCAATTTTCGATTTTACGGCTACTTTGTGCGCGTCACCGAATATTTTTACGTTTTCCATAAATTTCTTACTATTCTTCGCGTAAGAATTTCTGTACACTTCGTCCGCCTCGCCCAAAGGATCTGGAATTATTTACGTTGGTTATCTATAATATGAGCTAGATTTTTTTATTTTTTTCGTTCTTAAATTCAATACTACGATATATTATACTTAACTGAAAATACGTTTGCAATACTTAAAAAGAACACGATTTTATATATGAAATATAAAATGTGACAAAGTTATAATGAGAGGGTGGGGGTGTATATTAAAGGAATTTGGTGAATAGGACAATAATTCACATCAATTTTCTTCCTATAAATAGGACTCTAATATCATTTGTTTGAAACATTTTAATAAAATTGATTTTTTTATAAAACATCTTAGATTATGAATAACGCGAAGAAGCTTGTATTACAAAGATGTTTATTCATTTTTCTATCTGTGCCTAACTTTTCTTGCAAATCTTGCTATGATTTTGAGGTGTTTAAGTTTAAGGTTTCAATTTTCCCAGGAGTTTTCTCAACAATATGAAAACCAAAAAAAAAAAAAATGATGGAAAAACGAAATTTAGATAACACCTAAGAAATGTAGGTATTAGTTAAAAATATTATAGCCTTCTTTTTTCCTGTGAAAAAATTTTCTGCCAGCAATTTTACACTGACTTAAAACGATAGTACTTTTTCTGAAAGGAAATCTGACTGAAAAGGTTTTTTTAAGGAAGTCATTTTTTAATTTTCCCATGATTTTTCTCAACAAATGGGAAAAACGTGAAAAAACTGAGAAAATCGATAAATTAAACAAATATTATTGAAGAAAATACATATTGCCTATTTAATTATTTTACTAAAAAACTACATATATATCGTTGACAAAGCATCACTATCAACTGAATTTTGCTTAGAATCGTCTTTTTCGTAAGCTATGATTTATCATTACTTATAGGTATAAATTAAATTACCTATAAGAATGGCTGCACCCGTTCCCATTATCCTAGAACAGATTTTTTGTCACGAAGTTTTAGCAACTGTGTAATACAAACATCATCGCATTTTAAATTCGTTGATATTCGTTATATTTCTTACTGAGCCACGCATGTGATTCGGTTGGTGTTGTACTACGTTTGTTCATCAGAATCTTATTCAGAGTAAGTCGATTAAACACGACAATATCGTTTTCTCTTTTATCAGCTGGTTTTATAGATTTACGGAGTGGAGTTTTATACATTTTGATTGGCATTATTTTATTCGTGTTTAAAAGAGAATTTCTGGAAAAAAAAAAAAAAATATTATTTATATTCAATTTTCTATGTACTGAAAGAATTATTCTCAAATAGTAATAGTACATTATTACAATATTCTAATATACACAGTATAGATAATACGCCTTGAATACTTACGCATTGTATATACATTTCACCGACAGTGTTTATTAGAAATATATTCTATGTAATATCATACAGACGATGATGAACGATGGTTTAAATCAAATTGAACATTCAAAAAAAAAAATCATAGTAAAAATAAAAATAATTTATATTATACCTTCTTTTTATTTTGGGTTTTGTAACCGCCGTCAATGTGACGACTCGAGGTTTTCGATTGCCTTTTAGAACGTATAATACCAAAACGGCAGACAAAGTTATGTACGACCGGGGCTTGTAAGTGATCGTGACTTCGGTAGGGGTATCGCTGGGTACTTCACCTGAAGAACAAATAAAAACAAAACAAAATAATGAAAAAATAAATTATATTCTTTTTTCTTAAACTGCAATCTCTTTTTGGATTTATCGAAACAAACGAACCACAAAGCGGATTTACACTTAATCCGTTTACAGCGTACGGGATAAATATGCGGAACGGATAGGGGTACGATTCTGGTTCTAGGTGTAATTTTCTCGTAACGCTGAAAATAATATATTTTTAGTCAGATATCGATTTTGTAGGAAATTTAATATTTATAACTATAGGTACCAACTTTGTTTCAATATCTACATTTCCGAAATTAATGATACTAGGAAAACTCGAATAAGTTTTCGGTATAGCCCACAATTCTATGGCCAAGTTATCTCTATCGGTTGTGTTTTTCAAATTTAAATATCCTTTGAATTGCTGGTTTGAATAAGACGAGAATGTATATTCTAAATTCCACGAATTATTCGGTTGGATAGTCAACTTGACATATATAATAAAGACGATTTAAAATTCAAAAAAAAAATATATATATATTTATTTCCTAGTTTACATATAAAGAATTGTTAAACTAAAGAAATTTAATTTATGTGTCTGTTTATAAAAACGGAACGTATATAATTTACAGGTAATTCGAATATACACACTGTGATTATTTCTCAGATAAATTAAAGTCACTGTTTTTTTTAACTTTTTAAAAGATTTATTTTTCTAAAATCATTATGTACATTTTTTTAAGTAATATTTAGCACAATTTTCAAACAACCTCTATTCCTTAAATCTAGTATAAATTATCGATTTTCAAATAGTTACTCCCCTTTGCCATTACATACCACATTCGAAAAGAGAATGTTTTAAAAAAATGTCGATATAAAAAACACTAATATTGAATTAACCGTTCACGAGTTATGGCAGTTCACAATTTGAACCAAAGTACAATGGGAGGGTAAATTTGTAATTGGTACATTTTATATCCATTCTTATATTATGATAATTGATAGATCTTAAATGATCTAAATTTTAAACTGTCAAACTTTTACTAGATGGAATACCTATTATAGGTACCATATAAATTGAAAAAAAAAACAACTACTCATATTTTGACGATTACGAACGTATATCAATTAGTATTATTGTGGTTGTTTTTAGTATTTTTTAAAAATTATTATTCGAGTGAAAGCTGTGAGATAATATTATGTTGATCACGAAAAAACCAAACTTTTAAAAAAAAAAATGTATTTTTCACGTATACATAATAAATATATAGGTATATATTCGTTTTAACAATAATGTGTACCACTCACGGTAGTTAGGTCTGGAAATTTGAATATTTTATTCTCCGACTGTTGTATTTGAACGATTTGTGGCCTATCGGTCATGTTTAACAATTTTATTTTACGAATATACGTACGCCCTGGTTTGAAATGTATTATACATTTTTTCGGATTGACACATATCGAACCGCACATAGCAAGTCGTTCAACGCAATCTAAATAATAAATATAATATTTGCATAGCGTTTTTTTTCTATATGTATCTATTAAAACCACGCGTTACCGTCGTCATCATCATCATCACCGGTGTATGCTTCCTTCTTATTCATATTACAGTTAGCAATGTATACTATTTTAAATATTTCCAAGAAAAATAACAGTCTAATAATATTAAAATCCTAAGTGATATAATGTACACCTCGTATACACGAGTATGTCTATGGAAACGATAAAAAAACATTCGCTAATAACCGTTCGATGTGTCCAAATTTTACACTAATTTTATTTTAAGAAACAAAACTATCGACAAAGCAAATTGGCAGTAACAAATCAAAAAATTGTATTTTTAATAAACTGCGATAACCAAAAAGATAAAATAAATTGGTATTAAAAAGTTATTTGCGTAGTTTTTCATTGAACGTTGTATTATTTATACTTAATAATGCCATAGATAATAATATGACTCGATACCACGGACTAGAAAAATCCCGATTGTACTGATCGATTAATTACATGAGAACATTGATCCTCTTTGCGTGACTACGAAATTGTATGTACAATAATTAATAACTATTATCACCTTTAGCAAAATATTTGTAAAAACCTAGCATTTCCCCAGCTAACGACAAATACTGAACCGCTCCAACGCATAACGAGTATCGATAGGAGAACACCATTTTGATATTTTAGAATTGTATTCCGTTACTATTAACGGAGTTGTCCCCCGCTAAATGAACGTTTTTCAGGTATCAACCATAAATCATATTTTTGGGATACGAGTGGGCCATTTTTATTAATAGATTTTAAATAGTAATTGTGTAATCAGTATACCTAGAATCCTGATAAATACCGCGAGTTAAGCACAGATCTTCTTAGCCAGTGCTTAATACGGAATTTTATATGATATTCTTTATGAAAAATCAATTTTTTTTATAAAAAAAACGAAAATAATTTCTTTAATTTTTGTTTATCAAATGTTTAGAGTCGACTTGAAGACGGCTCAAGTTTCCTTGTACAAAGGCACGCGCTTTTAGAGTCACCGGGTCTAGTCGCAATTTGCAGAAATAGTACGCAATAGTAATATGATGTCATTGATGAACTAAAAAGAATTATAATTTTAAAGATTTTCTTGCGCTTGGTATTAGAAGGTGAAAAGAAAAAATCAAAAGCTAATTGAAGTTCCTTAAAAATGACTGTACAGAGCCTCGATATTTTTCAAGTTGGTTCTACAAATGTTGTATGTTTTTTTTTAATAGACAGTGAATATAGAAGGTGCTATTCACTAGTAAATAAGTCTATGATTAAATTACTTGTAATACACATATTATACTCGTAATTCCCTATTATTTTATTATTAGAAAAGTGAAAAAATAAAAAAATAAAAGAACCCTTTAATTTTGTGTGTTTTTCAATTTAATTTGTTTAAAAGGAATCTCATTATCAAAAAAAAAAAAAAAAAACGCCCCCCTGTCAACAATATGATATGTTTAATTTTGAATTATATTTTGCAAAAAGCGAACAATGAATAAATTGGTAATACATTTCAAACTAATCGTAGTATGGCATAATGACGTCAAAAATGCGTATACGTGACGTGTTGATAACCCGATTTTCTACATTTTGAGCACATAATATTTGGTTATTATTTCGTACGACATTGACAATGTGAGTTCGTCATCAGTTCTGCGAGATTTTTTTGCAATAACGACATACCTACGTAATTACTTTTCTTTAATAATATCGGTATGATTCAAAATAATAAATGTTTAGTACATATTATAAAATTAATCCAAAATACAACAATAGAGGTTTTATGTTTGTATGAAGAAACTGATAATGTGGCTATCTATATGTCTTCAATACGACGTATTGAAATCACAAGAAACGACCACACCCTTTAGCCCCGTATTATTATCGAGTACAGATGAAAATAGGGATATTATAAATGTACAATATGTTTAACTTTTTGAAAATCTCTTCAAATTAATGTTCGCATGTTATAGCTGTATTATCACTATCATTAAGGGAATATATTCCAGAATTCTGGATTCAAATACCGACTAGAAAAATAATTTAAATATTAAATAATTTTAAAATAGCCAGTAAATAGTTACCTAAATATTTTCGTATAGGTAGTATAAAAAATAGACTGTTGCTATGTATCAATAATACATTTTTGACGCACACATTTTTAACAGAAAATAAAAACAACTCTGAGCAAAGTTCAATAAATTATGCTGTGATAAACTTTCTTTTTTTCATAACATTCACAAACTATACATAAAGATAAATATACAATAATCAAATAAGTTAACAAGTTTTAAATATAATAATGATTATGGATACTCTCCAGATGACAGGAAAGTAAGATATTTTTATGAAGTTGAACATAAAAGTTAACAGGACAGTTGTTTTTAAGAAGATTTAAAATTGTATTCATTATCGTGATCAGGATATTTATTTGGCTTTAATCTTTGAATTACATTTGCGATTTCATTTGGAAAAACACGTTTAGTAGAAAGAGACATAGGTAATAGCGCCATGACGGGGTAGTTGTATAATTTGTATAAATATGTGGTGTTTGGAAAAATATTAAGGTGAGGTATGAACATATTTGAAAGGTGTTCTCCAAAGTGATTAGCTTAAATTGATAATTGTATTTATTTCAAATTATAAAATAAATACAAATTATCCTTGTTTTGTCGTCTTAAGTTTTTAAATATTTTTATATAGATAATTTTTACGATAATACTGCATGTTGTAAAATTAATAATTATTCAAATAGTTTATAATAATAATTATTATTATAATTATCACTATATTTCATAGGGCATTTATAATTGGAATTTATTCCGGTACCAAAGAATTTAATTATTATTAACCGTTATACATTTAAAAAGTAGTAACACCAATACATTGGTTAGAAAGAACGTAATAATATATACCTACCATAGTTTAATAAACTTTTAACAAGTTTCGTTAAAATTCTTAAAACGAGAATATTTGTTGCTGTTTATGCAAATAATATTATTATGATGCAATTTTTTAACATAAATATCCGATTGAATATAAATATATAAAAACGTCATTTTTATTAACAATGAATTGTATTTAATCAACTTTACACATTAAACTTTTGGATAATATATATGTATATATGCATGTAAAAATATTGAATATTAGGTAATCAAATTTATCAGAAAATAGTTAATCCAACTAATTGAAAGTATTCACTAAAATATCTAGATCATTTTGTTGAAAATGAAAAAATGAATATTTTATCCAAACAATATTAGAATTTAAATTTTTAGTATATTTATATAAGTTCGTTTCCCCGTCTCTCGTTTATATATTGAATAAATCTCGTTTTAAAATTACAAATCTTGTAACCTCCTCCAGTTCTCTATATTATAATTTTAATAAACTTTCTCCTATCGCATCCCACTTGTTCACTAAATAATCAGTTCAAACCATTAATATTTCGGTGATTTTACCCCATCACATTTACAATGGTTTTATAATAGTGTTATGACGTATTCTCCATTATGCTTTGATTATAATTTTCTGCGTGTTATGCAATTAATTAATTCTGCAAGTGATTGTTTAGTATTTAAATTTTAAATATTCCCTTAGTAGTAGAAAACACATAAAATATAAACATATTTTTACGATGAATAATAAAAACCATATAACTCGTAAAACGATATTATGTTTTCCACTATAGGTAAACGAAAATAGCCAGGGGAGGGTTAACAGGGCTAAATTCTCCCATGATCTATAATTATATTTGTATACTATTTTAGTATTAACTTTTTTCCACTCCCGAAAGAATGTTTTCTATTCTGTGAACCATATAAAAAAACGTATTTATAATGAAGAGCACTATGCCGTGAAATATTTTCAGTGGGTTGTATAAACCATAGCTTAGAAAAAAAAATAAAACATTAATGAGAATTACATAATTACTGTTTTTGATCAAAATTCTCTCGGAGGAGGCAGCTGTCAGAAAGTATAATAAGAACAGTTACAAGTTATGACTAACATATATACATATTATAATCTCATTTCATGAATACATTTTTTTTTTTTGTCAATTCTTGTTTTGAGTACGTATGACATTAAAATACATATTAATGAAAACACATTTCTCAATGTTTGTTTGTTTTTAGAGGAAGGGGAAAACAATAATTAAAATTGCATAATTCAAACAAAAAACATATTTAGCCTTTAATCCAAAATCGTAGTTACTGCGATGCATCAATCAATACAGAGTCTTGTACCGTCTTAGATAAATTAGCTAAAAAAAACACAATTACCGAGTTCTGTTTAGAATCCAAATTAAATAATATTCACATAAAATAATACAAGTCTAAATGACGATTATAAAACGGTGACTCGAAATTGCTTTTAGTATGTTTTGGTAGACTCCTTTGATTTTGCTCCGGTTCGGGTGGCGTTACATTATATTATTGTCCACTTTATTAGACAGCTATTTGTATCCTGTGTCAATAACACTATAGTCAGATAATTCATAGTTTTATCCACTATATTTAATCAGTATTATGATCCAACAAATTAAACTTATTAAAAGTTTAATGAACGTAGAATTATATTCAATAATAATAATTAAAAAATTAAATATTAACTTTTATCCTTTGTCCGGGAAAATCGCATTGTGAAAAACTAAATAGTTTTATACAAGTTGTTATAATATTGCATAACATGCTAGCACTTTGGCTACAATTGTAATATGGCATTATGATCATGAGGTTACTGAAGGTACTTTCTATAAGCAATATTTTACCTCTGTAGTTGTTTTTCAGTCTGATTTAGCCTTGAAAGATTTTGGTTCAAGTTCGGGCACAAACGCGTCTTTTGATATCGCGGGAGACACTACGTCGTTTATAATCGACAAGTAATCAATTACAAATATATATCTATATTATTTCGGTCTTAATGTTAGGTAAGTAAGTAGGTATGTTTAGATTTAAAATTTGAAAACTGTCCAAAATATCTTTGACGGTTTAAAATTGTAATCGAATTCAAAACACGTCGAAAAAAATTATTTTTGCAGATGACTTACCGGGGTGCACCGCGTGTTGCGAATTCG